AGATTTAGGGTTTCATAATCTCCAGAAGTATCTAGAAGACCATATGAGTATTTTCACTCAAACAACTATTCATCAATGGATCTCAAGCCGATTAGTTTTAACTTACATATTATATTGCTTCGCATGAAGTTTTTATTAAGGCGATCGTTGATCGAATCTGCGATATAACTACTTTTAAGATGATTTGTAATTCTATTGAAATTTTAGATTTTCTAGAATTGTTTGTAAATACCGTTTGGCAATCTTCTATTAATAAAATCCTTTTTCTTCTTGTTAGGAAAAAAAAAAGTTATTATGTCTCAACTCTATACTCTAAGGTTAGGAAAATACTCTAAGCACATCATAACATGTGTCAAATTCACCTATCTTGGGGTTGAAAAAGTTCAGGACATATAACCCAACTCATCAACTACATTCAACAATTCCGTCACAAAGTCACAACTAATTTTTAAGAGGTTTCCAAGCACATTTCAAGCTTCCTGTCAAGACGTGTTGTATTTACGTGCCTAGGCCAACTTTTATTTTACTGTCATGTTTTGTTATGAACTTATGATTAATGAGATTGTTCATATTGATATTCATTCATATAGGTGATATACGAAGCAACAAACAATCCTATTTTTCATGAACAAACCAAAAACTGTATGTAGTGATGTCATGTGTGAAATTTACTCTCCGCCAAAAGATTAAGAAGTCAGAGAAATCCAAACACAAGTCAAAGTTTGATGTACCCCAATACAAAGCCAGCAAAAGGAGCCGTGCAGGGTGCAGCCCAACTTAAGCTCAGTGAAAGTTTCCTACCTGGGCTTGGCCCACTGGCCTAGTCCATGATTATAACATAATCCGTGACATTTTCTCCAGTTTCTTTTGTTTGTCCAATGTACTAATAAAAAAAAAATTAAAAAAAAAGTAAGAAAAAAATTATTTCAAGAGAGAAATTTTGTTTGTGATCACTCACCGAGTCACTGTTTTATGTAAAAATAAAAGATATCGTGCAAGATTTTGTTAGCATCGTCTTGAGTCTTGACTTGTAATTTAAATATTTTTTTCCAGCACGCATTTTATATTTCTGGTCTCAAATATGTCCAATGAAAATGTACAAAAAGTAAATTGGTACAAACTCAACAAAAAACATAGAGGAATACATGTTAAATGGTTAGTTTGTGTTGTAAGTTTCACTAATGAAAACAAAGTACTAGGGGTGAGCAAATCGAATATCCGGTCAAAATTTTAAGACCGGACCCGAAATTGGTTGGGACCGGGTCTTAAAATTCAGAATCAGATTGCAATTGGTTCAACCGAGTCCTAAAATTTAGGAATTGGAATTGAAAACACCGGGTACCGATTCCGGGTACCCACTATTGTCAAAATATAATACAAACTATAATACTTAGATTGGACTATTTTCATTTTTAGCGTATAAATGTATAATAGATATATGTATATATGCATTAAGCTATTTTATTTATGTTAGGTATTAATAATTTTTTTTATTTTATTTTACTAACTAGATACCTTCAATATATTTTTTATTTTTTATAAATATATATAGTTTAATATAATGTTGGTAACCGGGTACCCAACCGGTTCCGGGTCCAAAATATTGAGAAAATTGGAAATGATTGCAACCAGTTCCTTAATTTATTACCCGGAATTGGATACACCAGGTCCAATTCCGATTTGGGACCCACTGGGTCGTAACCGGTTCCGGTTCCGGTTCCAATTCTAGGTACCCAGAATTTTTGCTCACCCCTAAAACAAACTACTCCGCGATCCCTCCACAACTTTTTAATCTTACAATTTGATCACTTATTTCTCACAAAAAGTTCCAAATGTAAAGATTAAAAAGTGACGGAAGGACTAGTATCGAGTAGGCAGCTCCCGCCAGTCCTACAATTATAGGGCATTAAATCTTCCTGATATGCGTGGGAAAACCATAACCACTGTTATTTCATGCTAAACTACTAGTTCTATTGCTCGGACTATATGTAGCCGAATGTAGGTAAGATAGGAGATCCTACACATAACCATGATACTAATGCAATCCTGAACAAAAAATTTCAGTCATGAATATGACTATATGTCTCACCCACAAATGAATTCTCTTAAAATTACATTCAATTACGTTCAAAGCTCGTCTTGCAAGTAAGCACGTTAGTAGAAATATGAGATACAATCACTATCACAAAAATATATTTACCAATAATCTAATATTGACTGTATTTATCTAACCGAATAGAAGACATTCATGAATTCATGAGTAGGGTGATGGAAGAGAAACAATTCAAATAAGAACCAAAGTTATAAATTAAAAAGAGAAATTTCCAACCAAAATAAAATAAAATTGCATTGAATCGGAGAAGAATATATACGTCGGTGCAATAAATTAGACATTATTAATATAATATGTGACCTATTATGCATATAAATTAAAATCGGCAATTTGCCAACTTTCTTTTAACACCCCTACAAGTTTTTTTCCTTTTTCTTAAGTATTAATTTGAACATAAGACTAATAATTCACTTTAACATCTAATATCTAATACTTATTTAAATATCTCAACCACAAAATCTTTAAATTCAACGTGAAATTACAGGTTGGTGACACAAAGTCATTCATATGAAACTAAGAGAGAGAGAGTGAATAATTTAAAGAAAATCGTATGGAGCCCATAGAACTGATAGAAGTAATCAATTGGCCAAATTAAAATACTCCCTCCCTCCCTAATTTTTTGCTCCATTTGACTTTTCGCGGTCTCCAACAAGCATCTTAAAACGGTTATATCACCATTTTCACACGTGTAAAAATTATAAAAACTAAATATCAATAAAATGGACAATGAGACGTATCCAACAAAATCTCACATGATTACATTATCACTTATAGATTAAGAGTAATTTACGGTCAAAGTTTATAAAACTTGACCCAAATTTTTGCAATGTGGCAAAAATTTAGGGATAGAGGGAGTACTATTCATGGGGTATTGGGGTTACATTTGAAAAGTTTTTATCATTATTGCTATTTATATGCAAATAAATAGAAAAAATACATTTTAATAATCTCAATTATGGCCGATTTATTTTTAATAATCTTAACTAAAGTTTATTATCTAATAACCCTAACTATTGGGTATGTTTGCCTCTAATAGTTCCAATGACCGATAACCTGCTGGAAGGGTAAATATATATTTTTTTTTTAAAAAGCCATGTGTCAGCACATGATTGGTCTAATAAAATTTTTAAAAATTAAAAAAAAAAAGAAAAACTTAAAAAAAAAAAAAACAAAAAACAAAACAAAACAAAACAAAAACCATTCCCAGCCACCCCATCACCGTGAAACCCTAAGCTAACCCTCAGCCCACCGGAAACCGCCACGGGCCACCTCCCTAACCCCCCTTAAAACGAACGACCGACCCTCCCAACCCCCTAAACAACACCGTAAACCACTCCCTCCCTTCACTCCCCCTTTGCCGAAAAACCAAACCCGAAAAAAAAAATCGTGAAGTGTCGCTTCGGCGCTCCCCCTCCCTTCCAACACCCTTCTTAACCACCTAATCTGGGCGGCCGACCCCCTTTAACCCACCCCCGACCCCAAAACACCTCCCAGCCACCTAACCCCAAAAACTCGAATTGTTCAAGCTTCGTATTCGAGGCTTCGGCGACGGTAATGTCACCGAATCTGCACCCGGGGTTTCGCCGCCTACTCCGAAGCCATCGCCATCGCACCACCTCCGTCGACCAAAAAATCGCAGCGAAGGTGTGATTGCAAGTGGTTTATGGGGGTCGAGATTGGCTGGGCAGGTGGTTTTGTGGATCAGGGTTGCTGGCAGGTGGTTTTGGGGGTCAGGGTTGGCCGGCTGGTTGTTTTCGGTGGCTAAAGGGGGTGGTCGACCGGTCCGGCGAGGTTAGGTGGTGGGGGTAAGGGTTTCACGGTGGGAAATGTGGCTAGGATTTTTTTTTTTTTTTGTTTTTTTTGTTTTACTTTTTTTATTTTTTTGAATTTTTTTTATTTATTTTGGACTAATCACGTGTTGACACGTATCATGGTTACCTGTTATAACATGTCGTTGACTTGGTGTTAACCGGTTGGGACCATTGGAGGCAAACACATAGCATAGTTGGGATTATTAGATAATAAACATTAGTTGGGATTATTAGAAGTAAATCGCCCATAGTTGAGATTTATTAAAGTGTATTTTTTCAATAAAAAATTATCACGTACGATATGATCTTATTAAAATCATTTCAATATATGCAATTCAAACATTTGATTACTAGTACATATGTATCTTAGAAACCACTAAATGTTAAAATTATAAAAGTGACTAGAAAAAAAAAGAAAAAAAAAATTAAAAACTCATAATTTAATATACTTTTTAATTTTCTATACATTAAAGTGTTACAGTTAATTTGGAACTGAAAATATCCATGTCCTCATTTAACATATTATGAAAGCAATGATGCAAATAAATTACGTAGCTTGCCAACTTCCTCCAAACACCACTAAATGTTTTACTAGATATTTTATTTTATTATATCGCTTAGGATAAGATCAATAATTTTTTATTCATAAAAAAAACGAAAGATGAGACATTAAGACCAATAGTCTAAAATTATCTTTTACATTGGTTTAGAATTTTTTTTTTTTTTTTTTGAATAGTACATTGTATATCTCCTCTAGCGGTTTTTTTCAAGTGGAAATGCCATATAGCAAAAATTTGCTACCTTAGCAAAAATTAGTATAAATAAAAATTAAAAATAAAAAACATTAAATAAAAAAAAAAAAAAAAAAAAAAAAAAAAAAACAACACAGAAATCACAAAATATATATATATATATATATATATATATATATATATATATATATATATATATATATATATATATATATATATATATATATGCGGATCATAATAGGGGCTTAATAGGGCTTGGTGGCCCCTGATAACTTTTTTGAGAAATTTTTTTGATTAAGGTAAAGGCCCATTAAAAAAATTAAGTGTTTGCTTTATTTGTCTAGCACTCTAGCAATAGCCGCCTACTAAAGAAAGCTAATCAAATACAGTATATTCCTATTTCCTAATCTATAATAACCCAATTCTCTAGAAAGTACTGACAACCCAAAGTTCCAAACCCTTTCCTTCTTTTATGATGTTTTCAATACTTATCAACACAATTGATAAATATTTTCATTTTTTTTTCAAGGTTGCAATTCAATTCCAACTTCCAATTGATAAATCAGGTATTCATTAATTTGTAGTTTGTATGATCTATGATTGTACTTCGACTACTTTTTTTAATTATTTTTAAAAAAATTTGATTTTCAATTTTTTAAATTTATTTTTAATTAAATTTCTATGTTATATTGATCAGTTAAAGCACTAAAAAAACAAATTGATTATTTTAGGCGACAAGACGTTATGAAAGATTCAAAGTCAATAAATTACTCGGTTAAAAATATAGAGTACTTTTTTGCCTTCGGTATGTCGTTCTTTATTTCTACTAATATCTCTCTATTGATAAGTTGTTTTTAACTTTTGATTTATACGAAATACTGTATAAGCTTAGTAAAAGTTAATTAATCAAGTGAAATTTGGAAAATGATCGAGGATAACTAAACATAATTATTGATAAATTATGTATTTAATGCTTATTTCATTTGTTTGGTGTCAATTTCTCGTTGAGTGGTTGTGTAAGAGTTACAGCTCGTGTTTTGAATACTCGTATGAGTTAATTCTCTTTCCCTGTCGTTTGGAACAATCGTATTATTAGGTTGGCCATGTCAAACGGATATGCATAAAAGGAACAGTTAACTTTAATTCAGTTCAATATGTTTCCACATTTATTGACGGCTGAAGCTACCATACAACATTGAAGATGTTAACTATCCTGCAACAGTTTATTGTTAAAAAAAAAGAAAAAAAAAAAAACCAATTCGCAAGATAGATATATCAACCTAGAATTAAAGTAACCCCATCTTTTCATTTAAGTACCTTTTTTTTTAAAAAACTATTAGAGAGTAACAAAATAACTTCACTTGTTATAATTTCCTTTCTCCTCTTTCCTCTCTTCTAAACCCTAGCCTCTATTGTTGATTTGGAGGGATTTTCATCGATTTTAATCGGTGAAAAGCCTCAATTCATATTTCGCTTCTTTTTTGTTCTTTTAGATTTGTAATAATACTTCCTCTTTTTTAAAGGAACTTTTCTCCCTCGAAAAGAAAGGAGGTTTCTGATTTCTTTCGAAAGACAAGGGTTTTTCGACCTCCTTCAAAAGACAAGGTTTATCTTCTCTTTTCGAGGGAGAAATTTCTTAGTTTTGAATCTTTGATAATAGATCTAATAGATTGTCGTGAAATTATTTCATTCGTGAAAAATTTTACGAGATCCCAAAGGTTATCCAGTTTTCGAATACAATTTGATGAATCAAAATGAAAATATCCTCACAGCTAGGGATGTTAGTGGGGCGGGTCAAATAGTTGGGGCGGGAATGGGTCTTGGTTTGGCGGGTGATGGGGATAAAAACCATACCCGCCATGGGCGATGGGGCAAGGGTGGATTTTAGGTTGTACCCTCCCCATCCCCGCCCCACTTCGTACCCGCCCCATCCCCACATCCATATATTATAAAAAACAAAATTATATACTTTTATACTATTTTATAAAAATAAAAAGTATGTAAAATAAAATAGTAAATATAATACTTTGTAATACACTTATATGATAAACAAAAAAATGTGTAATATTAACAATAATTTTTTTCTTTTTGCAATCTTTATTAATTATGAAGGATTATGTATTTGAGAGGCGGGGATTAGGCGGGTCTTAGGTGGGGATTAGGTGGGGGTGGATATCCAAGTGGGGGTTGGGGCGGGGATGGTTTTGAAATTGTACCCGCCGGGACGGGGATGGGGATGAATTTTAGACCCGCCGCGGGGATGGGGATGGGGATGGGGATGAAAATTTTAGATGGGGATGGGGATGGGAAGGCCAACATCCGCCCCGCCCCGCCCCATTGACATCCCTACTCACAGCTACAAAAGATCGTGAGATTGTCTCTCCAACAAGGCTGTATTTTCCAGGGATATAGGTGGGAAATGCTCCACAGTGCAATATCTACTCGACGATCTTAGTTTCATGAAAGAATTTTTTATTTGATTCAATATCTTATGTATTTGTTAAAATCACTACTAGAAAATAGCTAATCAACGACGAAAATAATCCCTCAGAATATCCTGAAATTCCGTAGGAAATGTCGGTTTCCGACGGAATTCCGTCGGAACGCACCGTCGCATTACATTTTGTAGGAATTTGGCTATATTCCGAGGGAATTTCCGTCGGAAAGGTCCATTCCGACGGATTTTGTTCTGTCGGAGTCAAGTTTGACTAAATGGGAAAGTCCGTCGGAACATTCCGACAGACTGAATGCTTCCGACGGAATTTCCGTCGGAAAGTTTAATATATATATAAAAAAAAAAAACAGCCCCACCACCCACACCCACACCCACCACTCCTAACCCACTGCCCACCCCCTAACCCAACCACTGCCCACATCCCTGAACCCTCACCCCCCCTACCACCGTAACCCACCGCACCCCTTAACCTACTGTAACCCACCCACACCCTTAACCCCAACCCACCCCACTGCCACCCCTAACCCACCACCCCCACCCCACAATCCCGTAACCCACCCCACACCCTTAACCCACCCCCACCACCCGTAACCCCACCCCACACCCCTTAACCCCACCCCACTAACCCTAACCCACAACCCAAAACCCACCCACAACCGAAACCCCCAGATCCACCTACAAAACCCACCGTAACCCACCCTACCTCCCAAACCACCACCGAAACCACCAACATCCACAACCAACACCATAAATTAAAAAAAAAAAAAACGAAATTACAACAAAATTAATTAAAATAATAAAAAAAAATACACACCTTAATTCGACCACACAAACCTCGAAATTGTGTTTATGAGGTTAAATTCGACCATGAAAACTCTAGATCTAGAGTTTTCATGGTCGAATTTGACTTAAAAACCTTTACAAAAAATGATGTTGTTGATGTTGATGGCGAAAATGATGTTAATATTGTTGATGTTGATGGCGCAGAGGAAGAGAAGAAGGAGAAGGAGAGTAGAAGAGAAGGAGGACTGAGAAAAGGTGAAATGAGAAAGAAGGAGTGAGAAAAAGGGGCGGTTGGTGAGGGTCTTAGGGTTTTTTTTTTATTTAATTATATTTCGACGGAATATTCCGTCGGAAAATTAACGTTCCGACGGAATATTCAGTAGGAAAATTCGTACAGATTTTATTTCCGTATGAAGTTTGATGTTCGGATTTTATTTCCGTTGGAAGTTTAATGTTCCGACAGAATATTCCGTCCGAAAGCCTATATTTTCTTACGGATATATATTCCGTCGGAACTTTCCTACGGAACAGAAAATCCGTCGGAATTTCTGATTTTTCCGACGGAAATACATGTCCGTCGGAAACTGTCTGTCGGAATTCGACCTATTTCTAGTAGTGAATCAATTTTCCTTTGTAGATGTCGTATGAAAATTTATTAATGAATTAATTTTACTATTTAAAAAATAAATAACTTCACTTGTTTATAAGAGTACCCTAATTTTATTTTATTTTAGTTACTACTATCCATTCGATAACCCGATTTACTCTTCGTCATCACTCATCACCATCATTAATTACCTAATTAATTGTCTTATAATAATTGTTAGATTTCAGGATATCCATACTTAGACACTTAGTACTTCGTATTTAAAAACTCAAATCGAGAAAGACACATGTCTCCATCCTATTACACTTCTCTATCTTCTTTTCTAACCCAATGTGCCTCATGCCTTTTTACATTTTTTATTTTTTATTACACTATGTTTCTTAACTCTTTCATTTATCATTTCATCTTCATCTCCCCTCTTCAATACAACCTTTTTCTTCTGTCTTTAATTTTAGTCCTTCGACCTTCTGTTTTTTTCAAGCCTCATTTTGAATTAAAGCTCCAAAATTTTTAATTCTTTAATCATTTTTCGTTTACACAATACCCATGATGATTTATTGGTATTTCCTCACTTATCATTTCTCAATTTAATTTTCTATGAACAACTTATGCATTGTACGGGCCAAAAAACTAATTTATCATTAATTAAAGGTAAAGTGGTCACATAATATAACTAACCACATATAAGAATTTGTGTTTATCTTTACCTATCTAAAAAGAATTGATCAACATTTTCTTTGTGTGAATTTGTAAAGAAAGTAGCAAAAGGCAAAAAAATAAACAGTTTTCATCTCGAAGACTTTACAGTCAATCCTAGATACTCCATTGGTTATTGTTGATGAGATTGTTGTCTGTCACCCTTTTTGCAACGCCTATTGCACAATTTAATCACATACGGCCCAATTAAAAGCCCAAAACGATTCTATACTGGCTTAATTAATACTACTTATTTAAAGCCCAAATTTTCCTATTCAAGCCCCATCTATGAAAAGCCTACTAGGTTGTAGACTTGTACTTCGTAGTTTAGTTGGGCTGCAAATATCTGATGAAAATGTGAACCTGTAATTCAGATCAACAGGAAACTAAAGAGCTGAGGATCTCAACTGGCTTATGGAGAGAACTCTAAGCCTGAACTGATATGTACTCGATTCACTCGAAAAGTCGAAATTGACCCACTTATCATATACAAAGTATATTTAATTATAAAATTATATTCGAAAAATTTTGGGTGAGACGGACTCACCGTGAGTCCGCCGCCCAAATACAATCACCGTGACTCATCGGAAGAAAGATCGAAGCATACAGAAGCAGGATCGAAGAAGACGATCCAAATGATGATGATGAAGGTGCCGCGAAGAAGACGATTCAGATGATGATGATGAAGGTTCCGCCATTGACATAGGAAGATCAAAGCATATAGAAGTAGGATCGAAAAAGAAGATCCAGATGATGATGACGAAGGTGCCGCGAAGAAGACGATCCAAATGATGATGATGAAGGTGCCGCCATTGACATAAGCATGGTGAGTGATTCTTTGGCCATCGAAAATTCCGCCATTGATGCAGCACCTTCATCTTGAGGAGAGAGAAAGAGGAGATGCGTTTATTGAGGAGAAGGTTGAGTAGAGAGAAAATCAGAAGAGAATGTGGGGGAAATAAGCCCTAAAAATATTAATGTCAGGTATTAGATTATTATTGTTTGGTATAGATTATTATTGTCAAGTATAAAATTATTGTTGTTTGGTATTAGATTATTATTGTTTGGTATTAGATTATTATTGTCAGATATTAGAATATCATTGTCAGATATTAGAATATCATTGTCAGACATATTGGACTCACGATAAGTTCGGTCTCACGCAAAACCTTCTCAATTATATTATTGCAATTTACCTTATTTTTCTTTTATATATAATTTACTACGTCTATTTCAAGACTCAAAATTGACTCATAATCAACTATAATCCATTTACGGATATATCAACTCTACTTATGGAGTTCATGAAATTAGTGAATAGTAACTCAATTTAAAATCATCGCATGCATTCATTTAATTTCAATTACATCTTCTCATGCTGTGGGGAGAAATAAAAAAACTCATTAAAAATTCTAGAAATTTGAATATACATGTCTAATTACAAAAACATTATGTACTACACTAGCTAACCATCCCAATCTATGATCATGCATAAATGCATAATGCATTCATGCATCATTGTTACAATCTTTATTATTTTCACTCCTTATTGAATGGCGTCAATGGTTCCATTGCCTTTAATTAATTGACCAACATTATACCCGGTAACCCTCACGTGTTCACTTTTCCACGTTGTGCCCCCCTTTTAAAAATTCCACGCTGTAATCTCAAGGTCCATTTATTGACTACGATGTAACCTTGCCATTAACCCTCTGTTACATGTTGCCATTAGTGGGGCCCACTTTACACCTATTTATTTATTTTTTCTCGATTTTCGTGCTAAAAAATGTTTCGTTAAGGTTTTAGGGGTCATTTTAACCATTTAGAATCTAAATTGAGCTCGGATTTTGCAAAAAAAATAACGTAGATACCCCATTTTGTGAATTCGGATTTCCGTATTTAAATTTAGAATTCACAAACGGGGCTTTTATGTTTTTTTTTGGTCAAATCCGAGCTCAATATGGATCCTTAAGAGCCAAAATGACCCCTAAAACCTTTAATGGGATATTTTTTTTCAGCACCCAAATCGAGAAAAAAATATTGAAAAATGCAAAGTGGGTCCCATAATGGTGACCGTTACGGGAGGATAACAGCAAGGTCACTGTTGAGACATAATTGTAAGTTGAAGGTTACAGTGTGTAATTTTCAAAAGGAGGGGCCGCAGCTTGGAAAAGTCAATACTTGAGGGTTATTGTGTAGAATTTCCCTTATTATTTTCACTCCTTATTGAATGGCGTCAATGGTTCCATTGCCTTTAATTAATTGACCAACATTCACATGAGGGTCTAACACGTAGAGGTAGATGGATCAAACAAAGCAGGTAAAAGGTATTTCCGCCCGTTTAGTCCATTGGCATTATTACTTGCACCTGAACTCAAATCTATTAGGAGCTCACCCGCATGACCCGGGTAAGCTCCTTTATCATATACCCCGGTGCAAACAGAAGCTGCCTCAAGCAGAGCTTCTGCTTCACCTTTGTTATACTCGTTACCAAACGAGTGTAGAAACTTGATTGTGTCTTCCCAAAAACCAAACCCCGTGATGAGTACCTTTCACGTCTTTGATTATTGAGTTAGGTGAAAGAGTTGAAGAGTCTTGTGATTTCCCTTTAGCCTTGAACATTTCTAGCCTTTCCTTAAATGTTTTAAACCAAAATCATTCATTTCACGTCTTTAAAAATCATTCATTTCGTGTCCTCTTTATAAAACGTCCAAATCAGTCTATTTTGGTTCATGATTCTGGTCCAATTATTGTTTAGTTGGATGGGGCTTGAAAAGAGTTTTCAATGATATATTATAAGCCCAAATCTGACTTATAACGAAGAAGTTATGGCCAAAATACAAACCGAGCCCGAACCAAGCCTTACCTGCGACCCGATGACCATGTGGAGGGTCCATTAACCTTAACCTCATTCTTAAACCAATTAGAATTTATTACAAGCTTCTAGAATCCTCTAGAAGGTTGTTTTCGATCCTAAATCCCTTAGGATTTATTATTAGCTTCTAGAATCCTTTAGAAGGTTCTAATTTATCCGGTTTTTAAAAAGATAAAGATTTAAGTGTTTTACATTGGGTAAAACATCTGTTTATCAATGATCCTAATCCCGGTCAAAATAAAATACGTACGGATATTTGGTTAACCTAATCAGATTGGGAATAGAATTTCGTATGGATTCAGTCTTTCAGAAACCATCGCTAAGCGACAGCACCATCGCGCCTCGACAAGGCTGTTGCGCCGCGGTGGAACTTGTTTTACTTTGATTTGAATTCTGACTCTTTTCTGACCCTTCGAACCTCTTTTTTCCCTATAAATAGAGGTCGTATCACCCCGTTTTCAATCATCAACAATCATCATCTAATCCTCTCTCTAAGCTAAAAGTTTTTCTTTCTCTTCTTTCTTTATGTTTCTAGCCTTAGCCTAACACATCCCAACACCTCCCTAACACACATCTTTTGATACTTTCCTCAAGCAAACACCATACCTCCATCATGAGCCTTGAATACTCCATGCCAATCTTGAAGTTGCCTTCGACCTCGACGTGAAAGGTTTATAGTTATGAGGATTTGGTCCTAAATCTATATTTCAATTCTTATTTGGTTTATTTGATTTAATCTTTCTTGAAGTTTCTAACGTGTGTATTGTTTTGATAGAAAGAAATACGAGGCATCAAAGTGATTAATTCGATTACTTAATTATTCTTTTGATATAAAAATCATGTTTAGGATATTATTCTAATTCCTAGTATCATGTTAGGATGTTGTTTTAATTCCTAGTATCATGTTAGGATGTTGTTTTAATTCCTAGTATCATGTTAGGGTGTTAACTAATTCCTAATATCATGCTTCCTTGTATCATGTTTAGGATAATGCTTTGATTATAATTTTTATTAGTGACATGCTAGGGTTTGTTATTAATCCGTTTACTATCATGCCTAGGATCTTGCTAACCATGTTTTGATGATGATATTATTATGATGATGATTGTTATGTTAATTATACGTTGCTTGATTATTCATGATTGATTGTTATTGCTTGATCACGCCTTTCTTGCAGGTTTAAAGGAAATTTGTACTTGAAATCACGCCTAATAAGATAATTAATAATTTGATTTTAGTCTTAATATGATTTTAATTCAAGTGATCGCCAATAATACATTTATTTGTGCATTTCTAATCAACCAACATAGATTAAACAGGTTCAGGACTAACTTGTTGTATGTATGTTGATCGGAAAGCGCACATGAATATCATAAGAATTAAGTAGAGGTCGATTAAGGGTGGGTTCAAAATCTCTTTTAGGTTGGATTCGTACAATCATTCCTGAACATCCAGTCATGGTTCCGGACCATTATGGAGTTAGCGATCTCCGTGATCGTGAATGGGATCACCTTCACACCCGTGAACGGTTTACAAGTTCCTAAAACTTGTTGACGACTCTTATATCTCTAGCTTCCTTTCCTTTGGACGCCACCATGTTTAATAGCATGATCACAGTGTGTCTCAAGGTTGAGTTTGAAAAATTCCCTACAACGAGTTTGTCACGGTATTAGCTAAAAGCTTGGCAATATTTACCACCATACCATCTACCCCCACATTAGCATTTGGGGCCACTAACGGTGTGTCTTGTGGGCTGTAAATGGGCTGATGGAAAGGCCAAGCACATTGGCCGGACATTTACTTATTGAATTACCCACCCATATATACGTTGACTTTGTCTTATGATCTGACCCACTACTACTCACACAAAACCCCTCCACGGCTACATCATTAGCCGTGAGGATGAGGGTTAGCCCAATGGGTTTAAAATTTACTCGCCGGGCTAGCTCAGCGAGTTAAGACTTATTTAAATTTTTTCCCTAGGGAACACTCCTCATCAACTTGTTTCTTTGACAAAACAACATGAAGTCCACCTTTACCCGCCTTCTTCATGTAATTAATATGCACGGTATGCCACCATAGTGTAACACCCCCCAAATCTCTCTCTACGGAAATACTAGTATAATACGTATAATTATACCGTAGAGATAGACTTAGGCGTATTACCGTCGCATGATTACGCAACGCTACTCAAAATACTTAACTCAATAACAAAACTTGCAGCGGAAAACTCAACTTTATTTTATTAATGCTTATAAAAATAATAACGTTGTTATGAGTACTCAAAATAGAAACAAAAACCAACATTCCTAAACTAGGTGAGGCAAATCACGGGACTCTCATATTCTCATGCATGACTCCATCTGAAAATAGTCAACACTACTTACCATTACGGTAAACAGGGCGAACCAAAACATATAGAAAATACGGATTAGCAAAATATGCTAAATATAATAAGTACAAGATAATGTAAACTCAATTTATTTGCAAACATGCTTTTAAAACCAATTCCAATAAATTCCAAAACTCATGATTATAATTCCAATAACTCAATAATTCAATAATATTGAAAAATAAAATCAAATCTTTTCAAAAACCTAATTTCCTCTCTAAGTGTGCACACCCCCCAAGCTAGTCTCCTACTACTTCAAGGTTAATCTTGAGTAAAGACTAGGTCATACAAAGTCCATAGTTTTCAATGAATCCGCATAGTGGGATAAATATAATAATCATGCTTATAAAGCTTTTTAATAAATAATTTAATGAATCCTCATAAAATTCTTCTTTGAATTAAAATCAACCTTTATAATAGGTTAACTCAAAACTCCTTTTTATTTAATTCAACATGCTTTTAAAATCAACCTTTTAATAAATACTTGAGAATTAAATCTCATATAAATAACTTTTCAAAATTAATAACTCTTCCTTTGAAAAACCTTTTATTTAATTCATCAAACTTTTCAAATCAATTTCTTTATTCAAACATGATAAGTAATTCAAACCGTTCAAAACATGATATGAAAATCAATCCTTCAAAGATACATTTATTAAAACAAATATCAAAATCAATACCTCCAAACATACTTTATTTCATAAATCATAATTCAAACTAATTTAATTCAATCACCAATAAAATCATATAAAACATGTTATTCAAATCAATCACTTTCAAAGGTATCTAGCCACCTAACGTACCTTGATTCCGAATATCAATCAACATTTCGCGCATTCAAAGTTCAATCACGAATACACCTTGCAATTAACATAACCATAAGGTTATCACAACATCTTTAGATATAAACGCAAATCTAATGTGCATGGACTATAAAAATCTTT